TTATTAAGAAAAGTGATTGGCGCAGGCGATATCTTCGCTGGAGAATATCATCTAGCCTTTAGCACTAAATCTCCAAATAAATCGTCCTCCAAACTACGCGATATTTGGGAATCACGACTAAGTCTACAGCAGGCAGCACTACTGACGAAATGGGTGGCATTCGTTCCATGATTCAAATGCATCGTTTCATATTCTTCGCGGATAATTCGCAGGAAACCTTGTGATAGTTAATGCCGGAGATCATCCATTAGGAACGTTGACGACGACACCCCGGGGAAGTGAAGGTCTCTACGGTAAAATATGTTTGTTTTAATCCATACTCAACTAAGCGAACTCTTTAGCGTACGTGAGTTTGGTCTCCATCTCAGGGTGCTGCAGCTAATGCACTGCACAGTGCCAAGTCACTGGCGAATCAGATTTGACCTTATTTTGATACCTGGTTTTATTTATTTAAAAATTTAAGTGTGCCCTCGTGTTGAGATCTACTTCGAGGGTGAAATATTTCCACTGCTTAAACAGGATTGATTATGTTCTACAAAGTGATTCGCAACAGTTGTTTAAGCGCAGCTAACATGAAGCCAAAGAAAAAAGAAGAGGAGAAGTTTCAAATTGGAGGGGTAGTGCGAATAAAATATGGAATTCGTTTCACAAAATGGCCAACAACACATGGCCTAAGCTTAAATTTCTTCGATCTCCGTATATTTTATCATCAAACTTCGCTTTCCATGCCTCAGTGTCGATATTTTTTAATCTTCATTTTCAAAACTGAAAAGGGAGTGGCTGTAACACTTTCGTGAAGGCAAAGATCGTTCAAGAGTTCAAGGAATTTCATTTAATTTATATTTTTGCTAATATCTGAACTTAACTTTCCTTGAAAAACTTTGATATAGGATGAAGCCAATCTAATTGTCACAGATGTGTGACTAAAAGCTTCTCCAACAATAAGCCTTGGAGGGAATTGGCGTAACTGTTAAACGCTTACGCAGGCTAATAGCAATGCCAGCCTACCTGGAACTTCAGCTAAGTAAGTTCCACCAAAGCACTCCTGTCGCAGAAACTCATCAGTCATTTCCACCTCCTCGATGTGGGTATCGTTGAACTTCAGCCACCGTTCCGGTAGATTGGCATCAGCGTGTGCTGAGCAGTCTTCTGTGCCCTGTGTCAGTGTATCACCTGCACCAAAATTGAAAAAAAAACAGACTGAAAAAGAGAAGCCTTACGTATTTCAGCAGGACCAATTACTTCCATACAACCTAGGAATGGATGGACAGAAGCTTTCCAAAACACAGCAACTAGCATTTTTGAAAATCATAGTGAGGGTTTCCAATAAGCGTGCCCGAATACCAAGGACTCCTTGATATCCATCATTATAAAGTGCCTGAAGTGGACAGAGGTCACCCAAAATATACACTTATTTCTTTTAAAAGTCTAATTCGGGTGACAATGAAAGGTAGTATAGACTTAAGCAGATAATTTCTTGCTGATTTAGACAAAACTGTGTACTAAATATCATGGCGACGCCACCTTCATACCTATCTATTTTTCTAACAATTGGAATGTTGCTCCTAAACGGCTTATGCAGAATTAAGTCAAAACCGGCTTCCACTGGGATACAAAAATAAAGTGTACTCAAAACTATTTTTAACGGCTACGACGCAGTCGAACATCGGGAGGATCTGGTTCACTACATTGCGATCGCGACACATGAAATACACACTCTATTCTTGTCCTCCAATAAGAATGATCCGGGTGATACGATATTTAAACACAACATAGGTCGTTATTTGGCCAAAAGCCAATGAACACATAAATTATCACGTTGTACAATTAACTTACATCTGGGAAAATTGTGGGGAGGATTTTGTGAATTGATGAAACCCGACAGACCGGCAGCACCCGAGACGGACTGCGATCTTTTACGCTCAATAATGTGAGCTCTAAAATTAATGTTAAAATAAATAGAAAACATGAGGAGACTGAGTCAAAAAATTCCACCCAGTAGTGAAAAGCGGGAGAATGATGAGAATGGATAATCAAAGGCTTATTTACACGTTTTGTTTATGCTTTACGCCCTTATAGGTTAAGAAGCCTTTCCACTATTTTCGAAAGCACTGGTGGACTCACTGTTCCATCCTGCCTCGGTCACGAATGAAGGAGTAGTAATGACCTGCATGCGCCTGCCCGGAGTGGATGACAATGCCGGAGAGCTCGTACACGTAGCTGGGTAGGGCGATCTCGAAGGACTCGGAGTGCGAGTGGAAGCGGAGGTGGGGTGCGTGCCCGTTTGGCTCTCCATTACCCAATCGCGTCGGACCCCTCTCCGTTGGCGGTGTCAGCGCTGTATGTCGCTCTTCCTCATCCTCATACTCCTCCTGCAAATAGCAGTCAACATGGATTAGGCTAAAATCTTTGGTTGAAAGGGGGCGTCGAAGGGCCTCTGTCTGCGTACTACGGAACAATCTTATGATTCTATCTGCCAGCACCTGGCTGTGTATGGGTAGGACGAGGAAATTAGTTTATGAAAAGAAGGACGATATATTACTAAAACCTCGTTAAAAAAAACAACCATTAACAGGTTGCTTGGATGGACAAATAAAAGGTGTAATTTTCCCATAGATTTCATCGACGAATGTCAGTCTTTAATCCTCTTCCGCTAACACATCCACTATCGATATTCCTTCCAACGGTTCGCGGTTACGCACGGATCAATCTATTTTTCTACTCTCCATTAACTGTTGAGTTCATGTGGCTCAGATTTGGCGCCGTTGATGGTAAGGAGGCAAGAACTCTTAAACCATGGCAGTCACTAGTGCGTGGGAGCGTAGACCCAGAATTAAATTTTAATCAGATTGCGAGCACAAACCCTATTATGTGGTAACCTGACATACTTCTTATACAATCCCATAAGTGACATAAGAGACTGCACTAGTTTGTTTCTAACTTTCAACTAAAAACTAAGGTACCGAGAAAGTGCCACTATCAACTATTTGCTGAAAGATGGTTCTTAATGTGTTTGCTAATCTTGATCGACTAAAAGGATAGAATTTAGAACAGTATCCCTCATCAAATATGCGGCGTTTACCATTCTGCAATAATACTTAGGTTTTTCATTCCCTCATACTTGTGTTTTTTAGTTCGCAACTGTTCATGAAGAGTCTGTTTTGAGATGAACTACTTTACTCCCCACAAGACCGTATTCGGATACCTCTTATTTTTCTGAAAATTACAGTTCTAAATATTTCTCCACTCCATTTGAATATTCTCAATTCAGTCAAGCGAAACATTCGTATCGTTCTATTATAATAGTTCATCGCCGTTCAGTGATACCTTCAAACCCACTTTGCTGAAGCGCTAAGGTTGTCAATAAACCATCTTTTTAATAAAACAAAAGCATAAAGAGGATGTTCTTAACCAATACTAAAGAAATAAAGTTCCATTTGCTAATTGACCCACGCAATTAATTCAAAATTAAGTAACTTGTACTTAAATTCCTCAAATGTAAAATATCTTTGGAAGACAAAATGTGTCGCTTTTATGATTTCGATGTAATCAGGAGGTGAAAGAAAATGGCTTGAGTAATTATTTACCTCTGGGTCGTATAAATGGAACCCTCTTTTGGATGCATCAGGTTGGACATCCAGTGAATTCCTTTTTCCACCAAGATCGACGGACGCGTTTGAATGGATGGATACGCCGGAAGGCATCTAAATGCAAAGAACGAGGAGGCGTAAATACCAAATACGCGAAATCTCGTCCAGCACCGATGCAGCCTCAGCTTAGGTACTCCCATAATTGCCCAGTGATTGAATATAGAGCAATTAGTATATTAAAGTATCAGATTGGCCTCCTAAATGCGCCACATTACCATAAGCACATCAGAACAACCCAAAATGTTGATCACAGCTACTGAACAACTCTTCATGATTAAATACTCGTCCACTGACGTGATTTGAAACAAATTAAGCAAACATACAACCATGAATTCTTGCTGAAACACATTGTTTGCTATTTCATTGATATTACCTAGGAAATATACCAGTATGCATTACTCATGCTACGGTTCGCATATTGTCCATATCTACCCACAGTAATCCGAACGCAATTAAGGCAAAAATCTGAATGAAAACTCGAAGCTACCATCAAGAAAGCTCTTTCAAAAGCTGCGTGGTAAGCGTGGTGACCTGACATGCCTTAACTGCATTTTCAATTACACGGGCTGTTCAGTTGCATCGGGTTGTACTTCTGCGCCTAGCCCCTCAACGTCCCTGTACTTTAATGATGAATCATCTTCCGCACTGGGATGGCTTCTTACGCCCTTCGGAAACTTAGCGCGATCTGGTTAGTAAACATTTTAACGTCTGTTTCAACCTGTAATTTTAAGAGAAATGCACAACCTCATCTGCCTAGACAAAAATATCATCCATAGCATCCTGTATAAGCATCAACTAACAGTTCCTCTAGAGATCCCCAAAATTTGCAGAAATTTCAAGACCGTGGGGCAGCTAGTCAAAATAAATGAATATAAGTAGAAACCCACTGAGAACCCCTCAGTTTTTCATGACATAGAAGACAATTCAGCCGATCTAGAATAATCAACCGTTTACGATTACAGTGGGGGATGCCATGTTGGAAATACGGTCAAGAATATGTGAAACCCTAAGAAATAGAAGATTCCACAATCCAAAGGGACAAAGATAAAAAATTATTCGAAGTATTTTGGATAAATTGCTACAAAATCCATTTTCTTCATTGTTCACGAGGTGATTGGCTAAGTTTAGCTTATTCCGATTGGTCAACAATCTTTTTAATCACTTCCCAACCGCATGTCTGTCAGGGCGGTTACATGGTCAAATTTTCCAAATCAAAAATAAATTTTTAAAAGTTTATTAAAAGGCTAGTGAGAGGGATGCAGACATTTGAGATGGTTTTAAGCTAGGTAATCCGTTAACAGGCAAAAATAGACAAAAAAGTGGAGAAATCAGAGAGAAAGATTCTTGGAATAATTGATAGCCAAATTCTACATTTTATCGGAATAGAATATGATGGGAAAGTTGGAAATCTAGCAGCAGTAGTTAGCTGGTTATTCAATTCTTCATGCACGCAAAAGCAGTTGACAAATAACTAAATGGGAACAATGGAGGATTTTCATCCAATTGAAAAGCATAACTCCTGGGTAAAATGGTGCTATCAAGATAAAAATCTGAAAAATGCTCTCCTACAAATTCATGAGGTAATTTAAACTCACGACGAAAGAGAAGTTGAATAACAAATAATTTATTAGTCAATGCTGGAGTCACAGTTGAGTGTTTTCAGTCAGAAATTTCGAAAAGTCAGCAGCAAAAAAAGAAAGTACTCGCCTAGCTACTAACCTGAATGGCATTATCACCCATGAAGGGAGTCATATCGAGCCGTCGAGGGAAGGAGAAGACTTGATTGGACTTGACGGCCACCTGTCTTTCCCAGTCGAAGCCAAATCGCTTGAGTTGGAGGCAGAGCACCGGGGGGAGGCTGCTAAAGGTAAGACGCTTCAATGTACGCTGTTTCATTTGACAGCGCTCGCAGAAGTAGGCGTTATCGTCTTCCATAACTTCCTCTCGCGTGTACTGACGCATCGCCTCTAATAAATCTCCTGTACAAACGGTTAAGTTGATGGCCGAGAAGGACTGCTCCCGATCGTAGCTGCAAGTACAGAGAAAAGCACAGCTAAGACCCTGTTGTGTTGTGGAAAAATGTGTATATAGCCTCTTTTAATAAATAATGGCAACCCAAGTGAAATCAAATAAAGTTTTCAGGATCAAGCCGTTACGTCTTGCGAGTGGCGTGGGTTCACTACCGACGGATGATTGGCGACTAGACCCAGTCTTTAAATCCATCTATCGTTCACAATCAAAAAAATTTCAAAAGGCAATTTTGTGGTGATCATGGACACTGGAATAAATCACAAGGGACTGTCAATATTCCCCAAACATAATCAACTGCCTTTAATGAGAGAGCCTCAAACATCGTTTCAAAGCTACCCACCATTGCTGATGTTTAAATTATCCGCTTGGGAAAAATGTGTGCTATCATTTTTGGTTTATGGTGGCAAATTTTTCTCTTACTGGCATTTATAGCAAGGAATGCTACTATTGGAATACCATGTGCAATAGTAACAGTAGCAGGGGCAACGTGATTGTGGAACAAGGTGGGATGATGAACTACGCATCTTTTGGATTCAGTCGCAAAGTCTTCTGACATCTACACAGGCCTTTAAAAAACTGCTGCGTTGGAATGCTCATGTCAATATATCAATGCTGATCATATCAACCCTACCAAAACGGCTATAAATTTTAAGCATTTTAAGCTACTTCAGAATTCAAAAGTCCCGGATCGATCTGAACCATTCCCATAATAACTATATCTTGAAAGACTTCACTAAAATTCCACCTTGATATGCTGCTCAACCGTCTAAAAAATCCAGAACTACCAATTGAATTCTTGTGGGCACCATGCATAGATTATTAGCACCGGATAAGCAGATGGATCCAGTGTACAGTTCTTTACAATGGTCCCAGTTGCAAAGTTTGCGGTGAAATTTCGAAAAGGAGTTTCATCTGCACCTCCTCCATTCGAGAGATTTACTATAGATTATTGATCTGCAAGACCTAAGCGTTGCATACGTTGTCACAAGTTAGGACTTAAACCTTGTTGTGAACTAGGCGGATCGGAAATAAACTATTTATTAAAGTACGAAAACAAAATCTTCCTGTCTTGAAAGAATGTAAACTTGAAAATTGAACATGACTCGAATTTACACTAGTCAAGGATAGGCT